GTTTATCACGGCCGGCAGCACACACTGCACAAACATGCTGCTGACTTCACAAAGTGCAGCCTCTTAGAAGAGATTGAACTGGAAAGGAAAAATCACTGAACAGAATTGGGGTTTTTAGCTAAAACCTTCCTTGCCAGACCGGTCCTTGCTCACAACTCACCACTGCTGAGCAGCTCCACCTTCACCCGCCAAGGTCCATCCTGTGTGCCCAGGGATGAGCTTTCCATCACATAACGTAGCAGTCACCAGTCCCAGGGCCCACTGGACTCTGGTGGGACAGCTGGCTCCATCCTTCTGGCACATCAGCAGGTGCGTGGTGCGCTGTCCCCCGACCGGCTGGGGGGTGCTGGGTCTCTGGGGCGTGGGGGGGGCCCTGTCTCCATCCCTGCAGAGGAGGAACATCCCCTCCCAGTACTGGGACACGTATCAGATGCTCACGGCTGTCCTCGGTCCTACCACAGCTCTGAGGCTCAGGGGGATGAAGAGCTTGGGGGAGTGTGGATCTGCATGGAGAGGGCGTGAAGCCACGAAGTACCGACCTGCACGCCATTGTGGTCAGGAGTGAGGTGACAGAGAGAAGGTGAGAAGGCTGCCCTGAAGAGGTGTCCCACTGCATCTCCTAAAATTTGTCCTACGCTCGCCCCAAGGCAGCATGTCCTAGAGGTGTTCTTTGCGTGTTCCAAGTGGTCTCCACGACTTTGTGGTCTTCCTGCAGCCTGTGTGGGCTGCCGTCTGTGTAACCTCAATGCGACGTCCTTGCGGTTCTCACGTGGACTGTGTAGTCAACGTGATTTCCTGTGTTCTCCTCACGGTCTGTAACAGTCCCTGTGGCCTAAACTGGTCTCACGTCACCTATACAGCAAAAGTGACTTCCATATGATCCTCACAATCCGCTTGCTGCAGCCCCTTCATCCCAGACAGGCCAGTCACAGGCAGGAGACCTGGAACTACCCACCCAGGGGTCCCTGTCCTTAGCACTGATGTCCTCTTGTGACCTCTCCCCAAGGAAGGTGGGGACAGCCACTGGCATGCTGCCCTGCCTGAGCAGCCAGCACCCTGCAGCGAGATGGGAAAAGACTGGGAGGTGGATGGATGGATGGAAGGATGGATGGATGGAAGGATGGATGGATGGATGGATGGATGGATGGATGGATGGAAGGAAGGATAAAGGTCTGTGAGGCCCTGGGCTGAGATAGTTGCCTTTCACAAACACTAACATCCTGGTCCCACAATATTCCTGGATGCATGCCTGGCTCCCATGTATTGTCCCCAGGTATGTCTTGGTCCCTCCTCACCCTTGACACACGTGTTGTCCCACATTCCCCATGTGGACACATGTCCTGGTCCTACCCCACCCCAGAAACCCCTCTGGATGGCCACAGGCCCAGCTCTGTGTCCAGCTGAGCCCACAACATGGATCCCTGCTGGCCCCACACCTCACCAGGCCCTCTGTCCCCAACCACCCCAGGGCTCAGGGACCCCGCAGGACAGGGACAGCCCCTGTCCTTTGTTCCCCAAGTGCCTGTGTCTCTGGAGATGCCTTTCTCAGTGTCCTCATATCA